ATCAGCTTGAAAGTGTATGTGTATGTCTGGCTTTAGAAAATGGATGCGTTTCTGAAGAATAATACATTAAATCATATTTAGAGCTAACAGCTTAAAAGTGTCATATAAAGATTCATTTTCTAGAACAAATAACCATTTTATAAAGAGAATAATTACCTTTGTTTACTTGACAAATACAGATTTTTAAATATATGGCATATTTGTATAAGGTGGCGTAAAGTCCACTTTAGTACTCAGAAGAGAACAGAACATGAATTAAAACTAACACATCGTTTTGTAATATTAGTCCTATAAAAGTATTTTTTTCTATAAAAAATTTATAGGCTTAGTGAATTGATGAGTGAACTAAAGCTTTTTTTAAAAAATTTCTTCCTCCATAAGATGCAAATTAAGCAAATAGTTCTAGAAACTCCCCTTTCTCCCTCATGCTCAACATCCAATCTGCCAATTTGATATTCTAAACATTAAAAACAATTTTCCTCCACACCACTACTACTGCCATGCCTGGCTGGAAACCTTAGCATTTTCTCTGAATTTCCTCTGTATACCTACCAGACTAATCTATTCAGAATACACATTAGATTATATTATTCCTCAGTTAAAACCTTTCCATGACTCCTTAACAGCTAATAACAGTCCTTACATGGCCTGTGAGAGCCTTGTGACCTGGCCCTGTTTATTTTGCTAGTATTATCTCCCATATATCTGTCATGCGTTTTACAACAGCAAGATTGGTTTAACTAACGCTCCCTCAGAAAGTGAATCCCCCGAGTCGGCTCTGTGCTGCTTCACTGTGCTTCCGTGGCATGCCGGGCACACCTCTGTCATAGAAATTCCACATTACACTTTATGCAAAGGATTTAGCATGGGCGTCAGGCATCTAGTAGGTGCTCAATAAATCACTGATGAATTGAACCAAGTTTTAACAATTGTGATCCCCAGAGAACACTAGTTTGGAAGTTTTATCCAATAGTTAATATAGTTGTTATTTTCTTCCACTACAAAGCAACAAATCTCCACATCTCCCAGAGCTATGCAGCAAAAGAACACTTTGAACCATTTGGCCTCACTGTACAGATGTCCTCCTATAACTGTTTTCTGATCAAACACACAGCATTTCTTATTGGTGAAAAAATAGGACTTCCTAATATATCCTATTAGGAAATATTAAAAGAGTGGCTAGGTAGTCAAAATGAGTTGGCACTCTTGGTTTGTGGATATATGGATTTCTGAGCTTAATTACATTTGGAACATTTGCATTGCTTGCTAGCTAAAGGAATCCCATTTAAAGATTAGAAGTGCTGAACTAAGCACAACCTGGAGAAAGTAAAAAGAAGAATCAATTTTTGTCATTAGTCTACCTCCCGTCTCTCCCCTAAATGTAATGAAAACAACAAATGAAAAATCAGAGATCCTCAACTGACATTCAATCATTTGAAAAGGTCATTGTGTTTATCATTTAAAAGAAACTGGGTAAATGCATGTTTAAAATCTATTTTAGGAATACGAACAATCATGTCCTTGAAGGCAGCCATCATCGTACAGGAGAAAGGAGAATGGGCTGAGCAGACACAAGTTCTGACATTAACAATGAGAGCTACCCTTTCCTGAGTCCCTACAGTGTGCCAAAATCCTGCATCAGGTGCTTTGTAAGTCCTGTGCTTTGTAAGCCCGGCCTGTTGTATGGAGGCTTTTCAACTGGGTGTTAACCCATATTCCTGGGAAGGCGGGGGAGAGAGAATTTTGGGAGGGACCAAGCATCAGTAGAGGAGGTGATTGGCTTGGAGAGAGGATATTCAACAACATAACAGAAGGGACCGCATCTTGCCCTCCTGAGTAAGCAAACTCCAGGGCCTCAGCAGCTGTCCTGAGCCTGCCGGAAGCCAGGCTCTTGGGTGGCACCACCACGAGCCCTTATTGCTGCTGCACCAGCCTGGCTGCCTTGGTTGAGGATTGGTCTTTCCCCATCCCTAACCCCTCCCCTGCTGTCTCTGGCTGACAGTGACACCAGGTAACATCTTTAAATCATCACTCAAGGTTGGTTGGTGCTGGCAGTTTATGGGAGTCAGATTGTCAGGGTAGAGGCTCAGGCTGCATGAAGTCAAATATGTGAAAGTAAAGCACTGCCTTGGTGGGCAGGTTATGTTTAAACAGTGATACCAGTAAGCTATTTATTTCTTTATTTCTTTTTTCTTTTTTTTGAGGCAGGGTCTCCTCTGTTGTGCAATCTTGGCTCACTGCAACCTCTGCCTCCTGGGTTCAAGCAGTCCTCCCACTTTGCCTCCTGAGTAGCTGGGCCCATAGGCACGCACCACCATGCCCAGCTAATTCTTGTATTTTTTGTAGAGATGGGGTTTCTCCATGTTGCCCAGGCTGGTCTCAAACTCCTAGGCTCAATCAATCCACCCACCTTGGCCTCCCACAGTGTTGGGATTACAGACATGGCCACAATGCCTGGCCAACCAGCTACTTCTTGAGTGCCTGCTACCCAGAGGATATTCAATATCCCTTGTGAGGTACACAAGTTATTACACAGTCCTTAGACTCCAAACACAAAATGATAGTCCCTATTGAAGGGGGCTCAGAACACCCTGCCCTTCCTTCTCATCCTTGCTTTCACCACAGTCAGCTGAGAATGCCCCCTCCACACAGTACTCTGATAATGGACAAGGGGACAGAGAGCAGGCAGAGGTGGCATCCAGTTTGTCAGAACAAGGCAGAGTATTGCATGGAGATATATTGGGTAAAACTCTGAGCTTGGAAGTTATACTTTTTGAGTAAATGCATAAGCATAATATCCAAATAAGATGCAGACAAAAACTGCAGACTGTATTGTTTTTACCACAAAAAAATATGGATCATAGAGAAGTGAATTCCCCAATGACTGAATTATCATGATCACGATCATTACATTAGTGAAGCTACACAGTACGTTACCAGATGGGCGACTCTAACCTGTGGGCCTCTCAGCTCTCTTCAAACTAAATCAATCCTCACCAAAATCAAAAGCAGTTTACTTGGTGTGGGAAAGGGAGATAAAACAACATCATTTTAAAGAGTATAATAATTCTCGTAGAAAAACAAAGGTACAAGAATAGCTAAAAAGTTTTACATAAGGACAGCAATGAGTTGGAACTTGATAAATCAGGTATTCTGAGGCTTGGTTTTGGTTAAAATAATTTAAACATTGGCATTACATAGAGAAGTTAATGAAACAGAATAGAAAGTGGTGGAATAAAATGGCCTAACCATGTAAGAATTTAGTGTATCGTAAAACAGTATTTCAGATCAGTGGGTGAAGATTGAGCAGACAACGGCTAAAGGTACAACTTCCCAGAATTCTAGGAGGACCTGAATTTTGGAACCACACATCGCTTGCCATACTGAGGTAATTCTGAGGTGAGTCGAAGACTAATTCTGAGGTGAATCAAAGATAAAAATGTAAAATAAGTAAGGTTTAGGCCAATATGTGATTTGGGGATTGAAGAAGGACTTATTAAGCTTAGCAATAACAAGACAAACAAAAAATAGATAGATTTTATAATCTAAAATTTACATTTTCTTTACTTCAGGAAATCTCACTTCAAAAAGACAGACAATAAACTGAGAAAAATATTTTCACCACAAATGACAGAAAATTAATATTCTCTCTCTCTTCCTCTCTCTATAAGCTGTTACACATCAACAAGATGAACAAACATACCAACAGAAACCTGAGAAAAAGATGTAAAGGGAAAAATCATAAAAGATAATAGGATCATGACTATTTAACATGGAACCCAAATCAACTTTATTATTAATTAAAAAAATTAGTCATGTCTAATTGGCAATGAATATATTAATTAATATCAGTAATGTGGGCTTAGGCAAAAAGGGCATATTATACAGTACTGGTGAAAAGGTAAACTGATATGAAGAATAATTTCATCATAAAAATTTCTATCAAAATTGAATGAAAATGGGTAATTTTGGCAATGATTTAGCTTTAGAAATTTTCTTTATCAAATTGTTTATAATAGAAAAAAATGAAAGTAATATGCTTAGTGAATATTAGATAAGTAAATTGGAGCATTTCCATGATGACATATCAATATTGGAATATAACAACAGAAAGGTATTTGTGATATATGGTTGATGAGAGAAAAATAGAAAGCGTCACCATTATATGATCCCATTAAAAGTTAAAACATTTTTAATTTTCACAAGGGTAACACACACTTATATTAAAAATTCAGTCAAAAGTTCATCTAGCCAAAAGCAAAGGACCCTATCATCAGACACTAGATTATGTTTCCCAGACATAACCATGAAATTCATTGTTTATCATTCAGGTGGCTTCTTTCAACCCTTTTCTTTGCGTATGCAGACACTTGTATGCACACAAACTCACTGTTGCAGGATGACTTTGCAATTCTCTTGAGTATTGTACAGACAATTTCCATTATTCCTATTTCCCCTACATGTCTTAATTGAGCAAAGCACACTTCGCACTAGGAGTGAGAAAAAGATAGAAAAAATAAAGAATGAAAGAAACAAGAGGAGGGAAGGAGGGAGGCTGGAAAGAGAAGGAATGGAAGGCAAGCAAGTCAAGGAACAGGAAGGCTAAAAAAGAGCCTGGTTATTGAGATGTTTACAACAATGATCAAGCAAACCTAGAAACAGAAATGTTCACTCATCTCTCTTCTTTCTCTGGTGCTCCAGGAGTTTTGGAAGTTACATATAATGTGGGGCTTACAGTGATTACCAAGTGACTTACACTGGTTGATAGTTGAATTTTTAACCAGTCCTGCCACTGGGCACGGTGGTTCAAGCCTGTAATCCCAACACTTTGGGAGGCCAGGCAGCAGGGTCTCTTGAGCCCAGGAGTTTAAGACCAGCTTGGGCAATATACGAGACCCTATCTCTACAAAAAATATAAAAATTATCTGGGTGTGGTGGTGCCTGCCTGTAGTCCCAGCTACTCTGGAGACTGAGGTGGGAGGATCCTTGAGCCCAAGAGGCCAAGGCTGTGGTGAGCTGAGATTGTGCCCCTAACTCCAGCCTGGGTGATAGAGCGAGACCTGTCTGAAAAAAACAAAAAGCAGTCCTGCATTCTTCAGTATTTTTTTATAGATGGGATCTCCAATGATGATGATGTGTAGCTGAGCCCAGTGAGAAGACAATGAGATATGTTACACCAAACCTGTCTCTCTTTTGAATCAACACTTTGATGTGAGCACTCTGACCTCTGGAGAACAGTGACTCTCAATTTTAGGGAGCATTAAAATCACCTGGAGAGGTAGTAATTAAGATTCCTGGATAGAATCCCCAGAGATTTTGATTTAGTAGGAGGTAGGTCTGAGAATCCACATTTTTAACATGTGTACGAATGATGCTAATGCTGTTCTTAAATTAATAAAGTAAAAAAAAAAAAGCCCCACTGGAACAAGGAAGATTCTTCTATATACAGCTGCATGCTTATAGGTACTTAATGTTTAAGTAATTGCAAGAAGCTGGTTAAGAATATTTGGGCATCTGAAGGAAATTAATATGAAATAGACTTTTCACTCTTAAATATTTTTTGAGCTGGGTAAAGTATACTAGTATTACCTATTTAAAAAGCAAATAAATACATATGTTTTCCAACTCCCAATTAAATATAAATGAACATACTTTTTGACCCAGCAATTTACTTCTAGGGAAATATACCACAGATATTTGTAAACATGTGCAAAGGACAAACTTATTCATCACAACATTTTTTTCCCAAGCAATAGGTTAAAAAGATAAAAGTCCATCAAGTAGTGAACTAGTGAAATAAACTACATGTTGCTCAGTGGAATAATATGCAACATATAGAAAGAATATAAACTAATAATGTACTGACGTGGAATAACCTCTATGACATAATTTGAATGGAAAGGTGCAGAAAGGAGTATATATTATGCTAATATTATACAGATAAGGTAGAAATATTTTTATATGTTAGCATACATATTCATAAGCTATCCTGGAATACAATATGATTGATATCGCTGGTTGTCTCTGAGAAGGGAAAGGGATGCCAGGCATCTGGGTTAAAGAATTTTTATCCTATACTCTCTTGTACCTTTTGAGTTATGTGATTATGTTACCTAGTAAATATTTTTCAAAAACTACTTGGTAGATATCTTTCCATTTAAGGAAACACAGTTATCTAATTTTTAAATGACTGAACTGATAATGCCTTGTATTTACTAGATTTAACTAATTCCCTATTGATGAGCTCTTAGAATGCTTCTAGTTTTTCACTATTGTAAATATCCTTGTGGTAAATATACTTGAATACATTTTTAGACATATGTGCAAATACCTTTTAGCAGAAAATTATTAGACTTATGGTAAAAAATAATTAAAATTTGATTGTTATAGCTATGCAAATATTAAGCTCATCTTTTTGTTGTTATTGTTACTTGTAACAGCTTATTGCATGTTAGGAAGTTCGAGAATTTTAGCTGCCCAAAACACTTTTTCTTCCCCTAATTTTCAGTTCCAGAAATTCTTCTTTCTTGTGGAGAATATCATTAGCATGTTTTGGGAGGGGCTAACTCTGCCTTACCTATTTCCAAAGATGGGCATGTGACCCAGGCCTGGCCAGAGTAAACAAATCATGCTCTAATGATTTGTTTGTATTTGGATTGGTGACCCAGGCTGAGCCAATGAAAATCATCCCTAATGTATTTTACAGTAACAGTTGGGGTAGTGTGTTTTCCTTTGAGGTTCCTGAGATTCTTGTATATGAGGCTGGAATGATTAATGGCCATCCATATTACCTGGATATGAGGCAATTTTTTAAAAAAGTATTGGTAACAGATAGATGATAAAGTGAGCTAGATTAGATAGAAAAATAGATAATGCCTTGATGACACAGTTTGAGGTCCTCAATGAGTTGTGCCAGATGTATACATACATCCACAACATATGTATATTTGTTGAAAACTTCATTCTTTCCTGGTCATATATACTATATTTTCCCCAGTGTTCTGCTTGTCTTTATTTTTCGTTATTTTTGCTATACATTTTAAACATTTTTTTTTACATGATAAATTTGTTCATCTTCTTTAAGGTTTCATTTCCAGCTTAAAAAAAACTTTCTAAATCGATTTTTTAAAGACCGTAAGTATTATTTTTGTATTTTTAACTTTATGTCTAAAATTGGAAATTAACCTTTGGTGTGCTGTGAGGAAGATAATCCCATTTTTTTAAAAAAGAGTAATACATTATATAAATGTGTGTATACACACATACACATGTTGAAATAATTATCTCTGGCTTTCATTGGGTGGTGGTATAGCCAAGTGCCCCATTTTTAAAAGGAAAACATGATGTTTTTTTTTCCTTTACCCCACTTCCTACTTAGCTCTTTAGGAATGCAATTATAACCTTTACCATCTCTCCATCAGGTGCAGCAAGTTTATCTGTTTACTTAGAAGTTCCAGAGACTAAAACGTGAAGCAAATCAGGCCCATCTGGAACTCTCAGACACCAGGAGACTGCCTGAATTTACAAGGTAGCTGCCTGCCGAGGCACCAGCCAGACTACCTGATAGGTAAGACCTCTGAACCAAGTCACACAGACCCTGCACCTCTTCCCCTATCACCTCTTAAAAAGCCCTTGTCTTCTGCCCTGAAGGCTGAAGTGGTATCTAAAGGCAGGAGTCTGTACTACTTCCCCTCAGGTAGGTCTTGAATAAAGTCACTTTCCAACAAACCTTGCTCTTGTTATTCAGACTCTGTAAGCAGCGGATTACTGAGTTACAGCGGCATTACAAGGAGGATTTTGATTTCTTCTTAGGTTTAGTTGTATTTTCTAATATTTCTATAATAAATATGTCTTACTTCCATTCAAAAATACTATAAGTTACTTTTTTTGGAAGATCTGTAAAAGATCCCTCAGATTCAAGGTTTATACTAAGCATGAAGAGATTGGGTTCTAAGTATATTTCATATTTGTCCAAGTATCTAGGTTTATTTGTTTTGAAATGTCTCTCAGAATTTGTCATTTCCCTTGAAAGCTATTCTTTTTTATTTCCTATGTCAATGTAAAACTACTCAGTTAAACCCAAACCCAACATGTTTTGAATAAGTAAACATTCTTCTTTCCCCAAGAAATATTTGAGGAACAAGTGTGAGTATTAATAAGCTATATGCCACAGGGAGTTAGAATTATTTTTTCATCTTGTTTTCTGAGTGTATTACATTTTAATGAATTAACTTACCATACTATAAATATACCTTTCTGTATTACATGTGTAATATGGTAGTTACTTCTTTCATTATAAATAATTTTAATCTTGTGCTGGAGAATACAGTGTATACTTCTCAAGCTCAGCAAAGTTCACCTGGTTCTGCTTAAAAATGAAACAGAGTCTCAAGGAAAAGTGTGTAAGCATCACAATTTATTGAAATCAATAGTCAGAAAAATTATTTTGCCTGATTTATCTTTATTTAAATGATATCACAAAATGATACACACAAACATGACATAATGTATATTTTCTGACATTCTCTAAAGATAGCTGTGTAATTTTAAATCATTTCATATCACCAAATTTAACTGGCAATGATATTTGAGATTTGAGTGAACTGCATGTAAAAGTTACATTAAACAATTCTATGCCATTCTAAAGTTGTTTGTATATCAAAATGATCTTTTATCTTTCTCTTACCAAATGTTAATTCTTAAAGCAAGTTTTACTGTATGCATATGCTGCTTTGCAATGTTATTTTGTAAGTTGTACTTTATTTTCCTGTCAGGCTATCACTGTAGGCCTTGGTAGACACTGGTGCTAGCCTATGGAAGCAGGCAAATGTCCAGTTTCTCTGCTTTAGGAAATGAAGTTCAAGGTAACAATTAAAGACTGTACCAGTTCTCTAAAAACTTGGGAAATTAATTCAAACAAATAAATGGGGATAGAATTAATATTTTATTCCCCAAAACAACCTACAATTGAGATGGTAGGCACTGGACAGATTCCCACAGAAATGCACAAGCATTGAGAACGTGGATGTATGACCTTGCAGCTGTATGCAGCACAAACCCCACTGAGGACTCTGCAGTGGTATCTTATCACTTAGTATGGATGCATGAAAAGGCCAGTTAGATATAATCCATTTTGCAAGGGATTTTAACATTTTTCCTTTTATAGTAAACAGGTTCTGAAATTTTCCAGATCTCTATTTAAATCTAAAGGCTTTACTAATCCTCCTTGAGTAATTATTCTGCAACAGTTACCTAACAATCACAAACTTTCATAAGGAGCTAGAATTACAAAGAGAATTCATATGAGAAGACACATGTCTTCCAAACAACCTGTACTTTCAAAGAGATGAATTATTATATGTAGATATATATGTAGTAAAAGCCAGTAAAGTTCATATATATGTGTAAATATATATATGTATATATATGATAAATCATTGTACTACAATTCTTTTGACAACTCCACATCTAGTGCTATTTTTCTACTAGGACTACCGCCTAAAACAAAACTACTTTCCTTTATTATTCTATAGCAGGAAGAAGAACAGACATAAAACATAACAGGAAGCTGTGGTGCTCCAAAAATATCACAGGATCGAATGACACGAAAACCTTCACCAAACTTGGGACCATGACACCATTCACACTTGGAGGTGCTGAAATGGAGGAAACAGCAAGTAAATATTTAATAAATTTTTATTAAAGATTCTGTGCTATGCAGGACTCCAAATAGTATAAAATATGGCCCTTATCTTCATTAACAGCTAAATGAGTGCTATCCATTAAGTGATTGACTAAATGCTAAAAGAGCTAAACAGTAAAGTAGATATATGTATAATACAATCCTAGCTTTTTAAAACAAAAAAGTATATATGCATAACAAGAAAAGACTCTAATGATGGATCCCTATTTGAAAATAGTTATTCTTGGGAAATGTGATCACAGGGAATTTTACATTTCTTTACAATATGTTTCTTTATTTTCTAATTCTTAATAATAAACGTATTATTTTTATGTTACAAACTAAATATATTATTTTTAAAAATAAAGATATCATCATAACCGAGTATAGAATTAGAGTCCATAATGTATTTTTAAATGGTTAGAAATCAGTTAAAAAATATTAATCCATTAGTACATGAATAGACTGTTCACAGAAGAAAAAAATGATTGTCAAGAGAACATGGGTAAAACTTCTCAATCTCCCTAGTAATTGGGGAATACAAAATAAAACAGCAAAGAATTACTATTTCACAATCATCAGATGGGCATAAGGTAAAAGTCTGACAAAAAAAGTTTGGTGAGGATGAGAATCATTAAGGATTCTCATACTTTCTTAGTGGAGTATAAATGGGTGTAATCACTTTGGAAAATGATATAGCAGTTTTTACTTAAATTGAAGATGTGCATACTCTGTACCTAGATAAACTTGCATGTTTGCATAAGGAGATGTTTTTAAATGTCCATTGCAGACTTCACCATATTAATGAAATATTGGAAACAATCCATATGTTCATCAGTAAGGGAAATGATAAACAAATTATGAAACACTCATTGCAAGACAAATGATTCAGAAGTTAAATGATGATCTAGAGCTATATAAATCAATATTGATAAATCTAAAACAATAATGTTGAACATAAAAAACAGATTGCAGAAGAAAATACTGTGTGATATTTAAATATTTATATAAACTATAAAACATGAAAAATAATACTATATATTTGTCAGAATTTTTAATAACAGTAATCAGTGTTCTAGTCTTCCGTGCATACTAACTGGGTGTCCTATAATTCAATCAAATTTTGACACTATCTACCCAGAGTTAGCATCAGACTTCACAGGTTAAGGGCTCAGTCCCACAGGACTGCCCTCACTTCAGACACCAGGGCAAGTATTGGATCCCTGTAACAAAAAACAACAAAAGAAAAAATAGATAAATTGTACTTCATAAAAATGTAAAACTTTTAAGCATCAAAGGACACTGTCAACAATGTGATGAGGCAACAAGCAGAATGGGATAAAATATTTGCAAAATATATATCTGATAAGGAATTAATTTCAGAATATAAAAAACTCCTATAACTCAACAACAAAAAACAGAAAAAAAAATTTTTAATGGGCAAATGTCTTAAATGTACATTTCTCCAAGACATACAAAAGGCTGATAAGCACTTAAAAAGAAGCTCAACATCACTAACCATTAGGGAAATGCAAATCAAAATGATAGTGGGATACCATAGCTCATTGCAGCCTCAAAATCCTGGACTCAAGTTATCCTCTTGCTCCAGCCTCCTGAAAAGCTAAAACTAGAGAGCTGCATGCCACCACATCAGATAACTTTAAAATATTTTTTGTACTAGCTGTGTTGCCTAGTCTAATCACAAACTCCTGGCCTCAAGTGATCCTTTTGCCTCAGCCTCCCAAAGTGCTGGGATTACAAGGCATGAACCCCTGCCTAGCCAGAATGAGTTATTTTTAGTAAAGATAAGTTCCAAGTATTAGTTACTGTCAAGGCTTCATAGTTTAGTGGAACTGAGTAATAATTTTGAAAGTTTAGTCTATATTTCTAATTAAACATTGTCTTCAATAAATGGTGCTGGAAAAACTGGATATCCACATGTAGAAGAATAAATTAGATCCGTGTCTTTCACTGTATACAAAATAAACTCAAAATGGATTAATTTCCCCTGTGATTAAACATAAGACTATGTTTAAGTATTCAAACAAACTATAAAACCACTAGAAGAAAGCATAGGGGAAATGCTTCAGGACATTGATCTAGGCAAAGATTTTATGGCTAAGACTTTAAAAGCATAAGCGACAAAAATAAAAATAGACAAATGGGACTATCTCAAATTAAAAATCTTCTGCACTGCAAAGGAAAAATCAACAGAATCAACAACCTACAAAATGAAAGTAAATATCTGTAAAGTATATATCTGACAAGCCACTAATAAATATATGAAGAACTTAATTCAACAGGAAAAAAAAAACACCCAATCTGATTTTAAAATGGTCAAGGAATAAATGGACATTTCAAAAGAAGACATATAATTGGCCAATAAGTATATGAAAAAATTTTCAACATCACTAATATTTAGGAAAATGCAAATCAAAACCATAATAATGTATCTTACCCCAGTTAGAATGGCTATTATCAAAAAGATAAAAAGTAATAAATGCCGGTAAAAATGCACAAAAAAAGCAACTCTTACACACTTTCAGTGGATGATGTAAATTAGTACAGCCATCAACATGGAGTATGGAGGTTTCTCAAAAAACGAAAAATAAAACTATCTTACTATCCAGCAATCCCATTACTGGGTATTTATCCAGAGGAAAGGAGAATAGTATATTGAAGAGGCATCTGCACCCCATATTTATTCCAGCACTATTCGCAATAGCCAAGATATGGAATTGACTTAAATGTTTATCAACAGATGAATGGATAAAGAAAATGCAGTATATACACACAATGGAATACTATTCAGCTATTAAAAAAAGGATAAAGGCCGGGCGCGGTGGCTCACGCCTGTAATCCCAGTACTTTGGGAGGCCGAGGCGGTAGATCACGAGGTCAAGGGATCAAGACCATTCTGGTCAACACGGTGAAACCCCGTCTCTACTAAAAATACAAAAAATCAGCTTGGCATGGTGGCGCGTGCCTGTAATCCCAGCTACTCAGGAGGCTGAGGCAGGAGAATTGCCTGAACTCAGGAGGCGGAGGTTGCGGTGAGCCGAGATTGTGCCATTGCACTCCAGCCTGGGTAACAAGAGCGAAACTCCGTCCCAAAAAAAAAAAAAAAAAAAAAAAAAAAAGGATAAAATTTTGTCATTTGTGGCAACAGGGATGACCCTGGAGGACACTATGTTAAGTGAGATAAGTCAGGCACGGAAAGATAAATACTGCATGTTCTCACTCATATATGGAAACTAAAAACAAATTGAGCTCATGGAAGTAGAGAGTAGAATTGTGGTTATTAGAGGCCGGGAAGGGTAGGAGGAAGAAGAGGATAGGAGAGGTTAAAAATGGAAAAAAATCAGAGGTAGATAGGAGTGTTAGTGTTTTATAGCGCCGTAGGTGAATATAGTTAACAGTAATCTATTGTGTATTTTCAAAAAGCTAGGAGATTTTAAATGTTCACAACACAAAGAAATGGTAAGTAAAGTGATGGATATACTAAACTGATTATTACATACTATATACATGTATTGAAATATCACTCCGTATGTTATAAATATGCCTAATTATGTGTCAACCAAAAATAAAAAAAAATAAAAACAAAAATTTCTAACATTCTCACGCATAAGGAAGTCAAGGTAAAATTTGTGAAACATGAGTCTTCTGATCCCATCCTCAAAAGAGGTGGATTCTCTGTCTGAGGTGATATAACGTGGGTAGAGAGACAGAAAGAGGTAGATAGCAATCAGAAGTTGTACAGGACAAAAAGACGAACGTAGCTGCAAATCAACAGGGCAGTCACTGGAGCGACAGCAGTAGCTGAGCTTGGAGTGGCTTTGGTGCAAGTCCACAGCTGAGCTGCAGTCCAAAGAACTTAGCAAAAGTAGGATAGTACTGAAATTTCAGTAGCTGGAAATTCAGGATTAAAGCCAAGGGTAGACATTGGAGGATGACAGTGGTTAGGGTGACAAATCCCTCCTTCACTGTTCTTATTTTTACTAATATCACAGTCATCTTTGGTAGGTAGCTGGTAATTTTACCTCCATTATTTGTCTTATTGCATTTCCTACCTGCTCATACCCATGCTTATTACTTTGAATCAATCCCTCCTCACCTGTTATGGACACGAGTGTTTTAACTGACCTTCACCCAGCCTTCCCCTGCACTAGGCCATCTTTGACCTACTGCCAGGTCTATTTGGACTCAGTGATTCTTACGGCCTGAAGAAGAAACTTCCAGTGCATTCAGTGATCTCCAAAGGACAGCTAATCCATTTATTTCTTTTCAGCTCACTTCTCAGTACATTTTTTTTTTTTTTGAGACAGAGTCTTGCTCTGTTGCCCATGCTGGAGTCCAGTAGCATGACCTCAGCTCATTATAACCTCTGCCTCCTGGGTTCAAGTGATTCTCCTGTCTCAGCCTCCCAAGTAGATGGGAATACAGGCATGTGCCACCATGCCCGGCTAATTTTTGTATTTTTAGTAGAGACAGGATTTCACCATGTTGGCCAGGCTGGTCTCAAACTCCTGACCTCAGGTGATCGGCCACCTCTTCCTCCCAAAGTGTTGGGATTACAGATGTGAGCCACTGCGCCCAACCACCACTACTCTTTTTTTTTTTTGAGAAGGATTCTGTTTAGGTTTTCTGCCTTTTATTGAGTCAATATTTATAAAGGATATATTCCTGGGAGCCATTTTACTTAGGCATATAGCAAATATTTGTTAAATTAATAACCTAAGCACTGATGATCAATAATTCAGTAAAAATGGTATTATACTATCTGAAGAAAATAAGTGACAAGCCTAAGTGGACTGTAAGGATATGAGAGTTTAAGAACCCCAGTCCTGAGATGAGGCAATGATTCCAATACTGGTCATTGATCCCCAAGTGAGGTTACTCCATGCATACCTGCTTTATTCCTGGTCTCCATGACATCACAGAGGAGCAAAACACATCCCAGCAGAGTGTGCCTGGAGCCAAATAATTTTTTTGGAAGAATCTACTTCTATGAACTTAGAAATTCATAGAAAAGATTTATTTAACAGCCACGTAGATGACTCACATTTCACACTGGATTTAAGTAACAACTTGAGAATATTATAAAATGAGGCTGGATTCAGACTACGTTTTATACCTGAAGAACTGGCAGGAGCAATTTGAAGAATTGTGTGAATGGTTTTGTGTGTGTCATGGAGTGTGTGTGTGTGTGTGTGTGTGTGTGTGTGAGAGAGAGAGAGAGAAAGAGAGAGGGGGAGAGAGAGAGAGAGAGAGAGTGAAACTGTCATCTGAGCCTGTAATGAAGAACATTTAAATGCTTAAAGATATGTTTTGGTTAAAAGGACTTCAGCATTTGCTTACCATTTTAGTAACTTCTGAACTTCTACTGGGATCGTATCATAAAATGTATGTAATTGATTTTTGACAATGAACAAAGAAATAATATGAGTAAGTTGTTGTGGATTATTCAAAGAATTCTCTCTCCAAAAACAAGGATGAGTGAAATTATTCTCAAACTGAATTTTTGTCAGGTTAAGCTCCAAAATTCCATGTGGGAAAAAACTCAGTTCATTTCCATCAACAGTCAGTTTTTCAAGTGATCTGTAAATAAAGGAAACCATAGTTTAAAAGATATTAAAACAATTCATATTAAAGTAAAATCCTGCCTCAATTGTTCTTGAAAATTGGCATCAAACCTAGTAGCAATAAAATACAAGTGTGAATTTAAGTATTCCTTTAGAATCAAGAGAATTAATTTATAAAGCAATTGAACCAATACTCAAATGCAAATAAGTGCATTTGAGTGAATAGCACAGTTAAAGCATATATTTTAAAGGATTTTTGCAATATGTCATCACTATGGAAACAGAATTATTCACAAACACAAGACTAATGAATGTCATATTACATAAAATATAGTATAATAATACACAGAACATATTTTCGTAGACAAATTAAACATCAACACATTTTTTCATTCAAGCCCAATCAAAAGAGTGAAATTTATACTATCAAAACATATTATGTGCTATTTTGTGCTTTGACTTTTCAACTGAGTCCTCTGGGTTTTTTCTGTGTCAATTACTTCTAATAACCCTTATTCTTTATTCAAAGAGAACCAACATTACTGATTTTCTTATTTTCACTTGCCTCAGTGGTATTTTTGTACCATCACTTATCTCCTTTCTAATTAGTCCTAGAAGCAGATGGAAAAGAATCTGTTCGTGAGGGATCCATAAAAATCAAATCAAAGGCTGGTCCAACTTGTCAAATGCATTAGAGGTGAAAAGGCTGATATACAAACTTTAGGTAACAGACAGCTGAGGGCCTCTAGATTTTCATTTACTGTCTAGTTTCACAACTCATATCCACACAGTGTAACTTGTTTATGACTCCTGCTGATAATATTAACATATGATCAACGAGAGTATTTAAAACAATGAGGCTAGGAAGATGGCACCTCAGCTCTCTTCATCCCTCAACCGAGTTTGACTAATTCACCTCTGATGGTCTGAAAAAGGTGAGCAAGACCCTGGGCTCTGCCACAGTCCTGAATGAGAGAGCTGGCATGGGCACCTTTTTCTTCTGCACAAAGCCTAGAGGCCAGCAGCAGAACACCCTGCTATGGTCTGAATGTTTCTGTTTCCCCAAAAATTCGAATGTTGAAATCTTCACCTTAAGTTGATGGTATGTAGAGGTGGGGCCTTTAGGAGGTGACTGGTCAGGACAGGGGCCCTCATGAGTGGGATTAGTACCGTTGTAAAAGAGACTTGAGAGACAGCTCCCCCCTTCTTCCATGTGAGGTTAGAGTGAGAAGATGGCTGTCTATGAGGAACTGGGCCCTCACCAGACACCAGATCTGCTGAGGCCTTGATATTGGACTTCCCAGCCTGTGGAAAATAAATTTCTGTTTTTTATAGCCAGCCAGCCTTGTCATAGTAGCCCAAGCTGACAAATACAAACTCTATGTGGACAATCAGAATGAGTGTGACACAGTCTAGGCAAATACTAGCCATGGTGAGGCTCTTCCTGCCTGAGTTGGTTTACCTTGGAGGACACACCCATTTGGCTTCCTCCTTCCCCTCAATGAATTCTAAGACAGCTAGGCAGGCTAAACCATCTTTTTTCTTTCTTTCTTTTTTTTTTTTTTTGAGATGGAGTCTCACTCTCTTGCCTAGGCTGGAGTGAAATGGCCCCATCTCGGCTCACTGAAACCTCTGCCCCTCAGATTCAAGTGTTTCTCCCGCCTCAGTCTCCCACGTAGCTGGGATTACAGGCACCGGCCACCATGCCAGCTAATTTTTGTATTTTTAGTAGAGATGGGGTTTCTCCATGTTGGCCAGGCTGGTCTTGAACTCCTGACCTCAGGTGATCCACCCACCTCGGCCTCCTAAAGTTTTAGGATTACAGGTGTGAGCCACCGTGCCTGGCCACTAAATCATCTTTAAAGCTAGAATAGTACTGTGTTGAGACTGCTTTGGCAGCTGAGCACTCTGGGGTGCAGAGAAGCTTCCTTCCGGTCCACTACTCACTTTCGTAGCATTCTGAGTGGTGTTCTGTGACTGCCATTGGACTTGCATGAAAGAAAGAGTGGCCAGAAGAGAAAATCACATAGAACACATAGAACAAAGGTCCTGGGACAAGCAACTTCTGTTGATGGATGGATAAAAAATTGGGGTTGGGGGTGGGAAAACAAGATGCAAATATAGCACACACAGATACACAGAGATGTTCTGGAACAAAAATGCATGATTTGTAAAACTAAAAAGTTAAGTGGATGAATGAAAGAAGGACATGGTCTTCATGGGGATCCAAATTAGAGGCAAAGACAAAGTAGAAAAATAATTCAAAACAAACATACAAAAAAATTAAAACCATGAGGAAAAATTTAGGTACCATGGAAAACAGATCTAGGAGGCCTAATATGTAAATAATAGGCATTTTAGGAAAAAAATATTTAAACATATTTTCTTAACCAGAAAAGAGAAGTTTGAGCTGGCTGATTAAAAGAGTTCACCGAATTCCAGGAAAGACAGGTTTAAAAAAAAAAAAAAACACTTGTAAGCGTAATCTGATAAAATTCTGAAAGGTCAAAGATTATGGGAGAATCTTAGTCCTTCCAGTTAAGAATAAAAGTCACTTAGGAAGAAAAAAGAATTAAACTGGCATCAGGTGCCTCCCCTGCAACCCTGGAAACTAGAGGAAGACACAATGATGGAGACGACTGTGAAACACGCCAAATGCAAGCTTGTCCTGTCACTCAGGGCATCATTTATTTGTCAGGGTTAAAGAATCAGAGAAAAAATTATCTATGTATGCCATCTGAGGAAAATACTTAAGGAAAAACTCTAAACAGCCAACGAATCAAAAGAGACATCGCCAGGTTCCAGATGAGAGGAAAGGAGCGAAAACAGCTATAAACAATGAATCTTGAAATACCTACAGATAAATATAAAAGGAGAATGAACTAAAATGCTTGTAAGACTTAAGTGCTAAGTAAGCATTCTTTAATAAAAAGAGACACGATGCAAAGAAAATACGAATGAGAATCTGAAACAAAAATTTCTAAACTATTTTAGCAAAGCCTAGAGTTAGATAAGGGGAAGATGAGTTTGGAAAGAAAGTGGGAAAATATAACAGTGTTCTGAAGGTCTCAACAAACAGTGGAAGGCAGCGGTGGGGAGACAAACCATCGTGGTGGGGGAAGTAGTTTTTATTTTGCCTTTATAAAATATTAAAGAAAGTGTGATTGATTATGAGTAGGAAAGATAGCCATTAACAGATTAGGGAAGTACAATAGAAAGCCAAAATTAATAAGGTAGAAAAAAACAGGTGGAAGGACCACTTGAGGCCAGGAGTTTGAGACCAGCCTGGGAAACATAGTGAGACCCCTGTCTCTACAAAAAAATAAAAAAAATTAGCCAAGCACAGTGGTTTGCACCTGTAGTCCCAGCTACTCAGGAGGCTAAGGCAGGAGACTTGCATGAGTCCAGGAGTTCAAGGCTGTGGTGAGCTATGATTGTGCCACTGTACTCCTGCCTGGGCAACAGAGTGAGATCCTGTCTCAAAAAAATAAAAATGAAATAAATTCAAAAATTTAAAAAGAGAACAAACAGCATATTAATAAGTAAGAAAAAGGGAAAGTAAATAAATAATAAGTACAAAATAAAATGAAAGAAAAAAATATGTTGGTCATAACAAGTGTGAATAGGCTGAATTCTGCTAAAATATAGAGATTGTCACATTGGAAATTAAATAATTGATTTAAATATTTAAAAAGCAGAGATAAAATTATCTCATTCTACTAAATGCAAGATTATGTTCCTAGGAAACAAAATAAAATGCAGTAAAACTAAATCAGAACTAACTGGAGAGCTTTAAAAAGTACATTTTAAGGTAATGTACTTTTTTACATTACCTTAAAACTAAGGTAATGTAGTTTTAAGTTTTACATTACCTTAAAACTACATTACCTTAGTTTTAAGGTAATGTAAAGAAGTACATAGCTTTTCTCTATTCTGTACTGACAACAGTTAGAAACAAATGTAAACAAGAGAAATAGTACCTTACATTCACAGTAACAACCACAATTATAAAACGCTTAGAAAAGGTTATTAAGAAAAATATGAAGTGAGTCGTAAATTCTTATGAAGAACATAAAACAAGATCTGAAAAAATGAAAAAAAGTTTTAGAGTGGAAAAATTTATCATCAAAAATGTAAATTCTCCCACATTTATGAGTAAACTCTAGGCAATTACATTAAAATTCAAACTTTGTGATTATGTGTGTTGCTGGATGTGCTAGAAATTATACAAAATTATCTTAAAGATTATGTTCTAAAGAGAATAGTGAAGAGACTATTATTGAAAAATAATCTCCCTACTAGTTACTAAAAATTATTCTGAAGTTACAATCAAAACAGTATGGTACTGACATAGAAGGGCATAGATGAACTTCAGACTTTTATTACTGTGAGAAAGAATTGAAATTTTGCATTAAAATTATATTTTGTAGTATTAGCATTTTGTCTATATGTATTTCTTACAAAAAGTTAACAAATAATATCCACAGGTACACACATAGACAAATGGACATAAATAGCTTATCATTCTGTAAGTAGTCATCTGTACTATTCCTTAAATAATTCCTGGAAATACTGTACACCAATCATTAAAAATATTGTACACCAATCATTCAAGTTACATGTTTGGCAAACGTTGCATTTTACAGATTACATTTTATGGCTATTAAATAAATGAAAGGACTCAACTTTCTCCATCACAATCATTATTAAATATATAAGTAAGGGGCATATATCTTTCTATGTACTTCCAAAATACCTGAGTTTCTGGATTTCATTTGGAATAAAAGTAAGTTCATTGTAGGAAACATCAAGTTCTTCAAGAAAAGACAAGGAAAATAACCTTAAATAGAAAGAGAAAATTAATTGTAGAAATGATGATGTGTCATCACTTGGAATAAATAAGTACTTGAGTAAGTAGGCAGAAGTATAGAAACCAGATTTCTAAGATCCTGAAATTTATATAGACTTCTTTTTATTATAGATGGCATAATTACTATGAACGTTCCTAAGAATTACTCATCTATCCATTAAGACTGGTTTGAAATTTTTGGAGTGGACAAAGCCCTATTTAGAAAAAGTCACCTGAGAAATTTTCATTATCATTTAGATACTTTTTTTTTTTTTGGTTGTTGCATTAGTTTCCTAGAGATGACATAACAAATTACCATAATCTGGGTGGCTTAAAGTAACAGAAATTTATTTTCTCACAGTTCAGGGGGCCAGAAGTCCAAAATCAAAGTGTTAGCAGGGTTGGTTCCCGTGGGAGGCTCTGAGGGAGAAACCGTCCCTTGCTTCTCCCCAGCTCCCAGTGGTGGCCTGCAATCTTTGGCATTCCTTGGCTTGTGGTAGCATAACTCCAACCTCTGCCTTTGTCTTCACATGCCTTTCTTATAGGGACAAAAGCCACTGAATTTGGGGCCCACCCTTCTCCAAATTAGCATAAATATGACCTTAGATTAACCATATCTGCAAAGACCCTCTCTCCAAATATGGTCACACTGAGGTTCTATACCGATATCAATTTTTGAGGGATGCTATTCAACCCACTACAATTGCATTAAGACTTTCCTAGTAAAATACCTTTGATTTTTCTTTCCATCAAGACAAGTACTTATAGGTAAAAACCAAAGAATACCAATACTCGATAAAATAATTGTGCTGTCACAAGCCCTGACTCCTAGGGGATGAAAGTGGGAATTGCTTCTAAAAGACTGGAATTGAAGGGCTCAGTATCATAGTCACCATAATTCCTTGTAAACACCCCCTTCTTTGTGGGTGCTGTTCTCAGAGACTTTCTTGTTTTTCATATAAATAAAAGATGAAAAGTTATTTGTGTGATTCTTAACAAAAGCATCATGAGCAGAATTTTACACTAACTTCCGACTCTCTTAGCATGGCATATAAAGGTCCTCATGATCTGGTCTCACGCTACTTGTCCAGCTCGCCTCTCACCATCCTCTATATTCCTCTGTGTTCCAGCATTTATTTGCTACAATTCCCTGAATTAACCAGTTATCACCTATCTCTAAATAACACATGCGATTCCCCCCAGCTTGACTCTTTGATCATTGCCTTTTTATCTTTTGTCTTGGCTCAGATATCATCTCTTCCAACAACCTCTTCCCAAATTCTTCAGACTGGGTGAGATGCCTCTTCTGTACTTCTCTGCTTACTCTCTGATAGCACCTAGCACATTGTGCAACAAACGTCTGCCTCCTAAAATTATGAGCTTCTAGAAGCCATGGATTCAATTTTATGTTTCTATATATCCAGTGCATTGCATAATGTCTAGTACATTATAAGTGCTGAGGAAATCATAGCTGAATGAAAGGAATGGTAATAATTTGCTCTGAGAAGTTAATGAGGTTGACTAGGAAAACAAAAGAAATGCCTTTTCAATTAGATGTTCATCTCTGACGTCTTATCATCTCTGTAAAGAAAATGTTAATACCATTTGCTCTAGCTTTCAATTCAATATCATGTCATTTTCTTGCCTCGGGCAGTTTCTGGAGTCACTCTGTCTTCCCTTATTACATTGGCACTGGCAACCTAGTCTGGTTCCAGGCTTTCACTGTGGATGACACATCCCTGCTGATTGTGAGATGTAACAGGTGTAGGCAGCATTAAGGACGCTGAATACAAAGCTGCATAGGTTCTAGAGTTGAAATTTATGTCAGCTATATATGGTTTTATAGAGAAAATCTGTTCAGACAGCCTCAGTTTGATCTGCCCCACCAGTACCAAATCTATCACATTTTTTTAGGATATGTAAAATTTTTTACATTTATGTCATTGCTTTATTTATTAGCATATTACTGGCCAGTGAGCTGCCTAAAACAGAGCCCTGCTGTTAGCTTGCAAGATTAGACTAGCATCAATAATTTCATGTATTAACAGTGATGACGACCACACTGATATAAATGTCATTTATTAAAAGCATACTATAAGGCAATTTAGAATGATCATTTACTATACCAATGTAGGGGTTTTGGTTATTTTTTACAGATTAAAAAATGGAAGCTCTAAGAGATTAAGCAATTTATCCAATTTGGTATGAAATAAAATGTAGCTACCCCTTTTCATCAGAATGTGGAGGCAAGGTAATTTAATCCACTTCTTTAACAAATAACAGCATGGGGAAATAAATGTGTACAATTTCAGAATCAGCTCTTCCGACAGGGCATTCAAGTAGGCTGTTAGGTTTTTTTTTGTTCCAAATAGTTTCTCTTTCCCAAAGAACCTACCTGCCAATTAAAGCAAATTAGTCAAACAGGTAAGGCAAGGATTTGACTCTGTTAGTTAAAGTAGCTATTTTCTATGTCATTTTTCTCCTGCTATCCACTGAGCAAAAGATAAAGACTTTTTGTTTTAACCTTTGTGACAGTTGCTTCTGCATAACCTCAGGGCATGAGTCTAAAACATGTCTCTCTCCTTTACTTTTCTTCACCCCACCTCCCTTTTTCTGCCTTTTTCATCTTTTCTACCCAAAAGCCTTGGGAAGAGAAAAATAATTTGGATTTTTAAAGTGATTTATTATCTTCATTTTATATGACAGTTGAAAAGACAAATCAAAGAGCATTTCATAAAGTTCTAAGGATAACATGGGAGTGTTGATCCACTGGCTACCAAGAGGAGGCCCCTGTTCTTTCTCTCACAGAGGCTGAGCTTCCCTGCCTCCATGCTGCCCCACAGGATATCGCCCTAAGCTGCTCAAAGCCAAACCTTAGGAACAAAACTCAGTAAATGAGTGCTTTACTCAAACGGAATTTTTTCTTTACTAACTTCTAATTTCCCTACATTGAAACAATCAATTGTTACATCATTTAAAAAATATTGCATATTTAATTTTATTTTAGAAATTTAGGCCAAGGAAAAGAGACAAATCTGTGAAAATAATTGAAAGGATTTAAAAAATAATTTACAAGATTTTCCTATTTAATTTTTGTAACATCCTTGAAGACAAGTGTAAATTTTCTAAACTTTCAGATGGAAACTGAAGTTACGAGTAGGTCAGTGGTTTCCCAGAGTTTATAGCATCTAAGGGGCAGAGGTTGCCTCTGAAAGTATCTTGCTTTCTCTATCACTTTGAGTCTCATGAACCTAGAAAGATCTTGTTAGGAATGGAAACATAACAGTGAAAGTAGTCCATTATACTTTTAGTAAAACTTTCGAGAAGGTACCAAAATACTATATCTGGGAAAAAAAATATATGTATATATTTTAACATATGGAAACTATAAGAAAAAATTAATAATGAAGAGAATTAAAAAGACAATCTTTTAAATACAATGCTTAGCCACCAAAATAAAAAACCATTTTTCTATGTTAGGTAATGTCTAGAAAAAAACATGTATCTCAATTTAAATCCTAACACTATGGCTTCAAATAAATTGAGTAACCAATTGCTTTATTTAATAAAATACATATTTAATAATATGCTGACTGTCTCCTCCTGTGGGAATGTGATCTCCACAATAGTTGAAATCTTTGACTGGTTTCATATTAGTTTGCTGTTACTGCCATAACAAATTGCGACACAAACTTAGTGGCATGCTACAACACAGATTTATTATAGTTATACAGGTCAAAAGTCTGCACGGGTCTCACCCTACTAAAATTAAGGCATCAGCAGTCCTATCTGGAGGCTCTAGGGAGAATCTGCTTCCTTACTCATACAGGCTGTTGGAGAATTCAGTTTTTTCCGGCTGTAGAACTAAGGCCCTTGTTTTCTTGCTGGCTATACACTGAAGGCCATTCCCAGGTTTTGCAAGCTGCCTCATTCCTTGACTCATGGCTCCCTTCCTCCATCCTCAAAAACAAAATCAAGTCACGTCCTCAGGTGGTATCTCTCTGACAAATAATTCTGCATCCCTCTTCCATTTTCAAGATTATTCTAATCCAGAGAAAAGGAAAGGTAAAGAGGAATTACCAATCCCAAGCAATTTTGAAATACAACTGAGTAACTTCATTTGGTTTCAAGGCCTGGGAATTAGCAGCAGCAGCTCACAGCTCTGCTGCCTGCTTTCCGGTTTCTGCCCTCCTGGCTCCTGGCTCTGTCTTTTGGAATCACAGTTCCACCTTCTGTGCTCCTGGCTTCATCCTCCCCTGTTCCTGGCTCCACCCTCTGAATCATTCTCCCTTTTTCATGAAAGTTGGCACACGTATTCAGCTGTTTCCTGCCCACAGAATTTGGGGGAATCTGACAACCTTTTTTCATTTCATACTGTCTTTGTCCTTCTTGATACACTCTGGCAACATTTCTGTTAGTACAAAATGTTTAAGAACTTAGTGGGTTTCCCATGTATATCATGGGTATTCATTCCATAAGACAAAAGACTTGTCCACAGATTTTGTTCCCAGTTAATCCCATTTCTATTTTTGACTTTGCTGAAATGGCTGAGGCCATATGGCCTGAGGTCATCATTAAAAAGGAATGGAATACTGGTATATACAACATGGGTGAATCCCCAAAATTTCTGTTGCGTGAAAGATGTCAGACTAAAAAAAATTATTTGTTCTATCAATCAACTTTTAGAATTTTCCAGAACAGGCAAAATAAAGCTATGATGTTAGAGGTCTGGGAATGGACTAGAAATGTACATAAGGACATTTCTAGGGTAGACTTTCCAGGATAATGGGAATGCCCCATATATTGTTTTCAATAGTAGTTATGTAGTTATATGGGTGCGTATATTTGTTAGATACTTCGAATCAAATACCTAAGATTTGTGCATGTTATCGTATGTAAATTATACCTAAAAATTTTAGAAAAGAGAAAGATGAGGAAGAAAGATGAAAAAATTGAGGGTACTGATAACTATATATATACATTTTTGAGAC